TATTTTTAGAAGATTTATATGATCTTCTCTTTCTTTTATTGACTATCTTCCTAATATTATTTGATTGTTCATTACAGTAATTTTTAATTTAGTTGCGGGTGCAACTAAATAAAAAACTTTACTTGCAGATTATATGGATTTAGTTGCGCATATGAATGTATTTATATGCAAATTCGAATATCTCTATATACAAATTCATAATTTATTTGCAGAACCAGCATATACATTTCAGATTTTAGTTGCAGAAACTTATAAATAATTTGCGGTCCACAAGCTCTGCAACCCAATTTCAGACACTGGGGTACTACCCACGTTCCACAAAAAATTGTTCATCCCCAGTAATTTTGACCAATCAAAATTTAAGATCAGGTGTCAAAACAAATGTATTTTGTTTTCTAAGTAAAAAAGTTACGCGTAAAATAAAACCAAGAAAACCATGTTATAATTAGGGTTAGGATTAGAATAATATAATGTTTATTAGTAAAACATCACAAGTAGTGTTTGTAGTCGATTTCGTGTTAGTCGATTTTATCGATTTAGCCAGCTAAGTTAGTCGATTTTTCAAAAAATCAGCTTAGTTGTAGTTGACTTAATATCGGATTATATTGAAATTATAATAACCAATCAAATTTTACAAAAAAAAAAATGCATGCAAGTAATAACAATAATAACTCTTTAGAAATAAAATGTAGTTGTAAATAAATTTGCATTCAATCAGGTGAACAGTTTGTAGTAGTGTTTGTAGTCGATTTCGTGTTAGTCGATTTTATCAATTTAGCCAGCTAAGTTAGCTGATTTTTCAAAAAATCGGCTTAGTCGTAGTCGACTTAATATCAAGTTATATTGAAATTATAATAACCAATCAAATTTTACAAAAAAAAAAATGCATACAAGTAATAACAATAATAACTCTTTGGAAATAAAATGTAATTGTAAATAAATTTGCATTCAATCAGGTGAACAGTTTGCAGTATCTCACGTATGTATATTACAGCATTATCAGCTATCAAGAATTCTAATTTTTGCGATGTGCAATTGAAACCGGTTATGTACAGATAATAATATATAATACACACATATACATATAAGCTAGTTTTCTTAATCAGGAAGATAATTACCAGTATGTAAATTTTACTACCCATGCCTAAATACATATTATACTTTTTGACTTCTCTAACTAACAACAATCTTACAAATTAGCAATAAATTATGCATGCTAACCTGAAATTCATGGAAAACTATGCAAAAGGTCTAAAACCTTGTCATTATGGCAAGATAATATGCTGATCACATAGATACGCATCATTGTAGATATAATACTAATCTTCTGTTATAGCATTAAACAATAATATAATCAATAAAGTAACCAAAATCAAATAAAAAAAATAATTTTTTACTAATGAAACCTTTTTTAATGCAAATTCGTATGCCTCATGACTATTCATAGAAGCCGAAACTGATTTGCTTCAAAAGAAATTATTTATGACATTATAACTATAGTAAACCCTTGTTATAGTAAAGATTCGATGTAATGAGAATTCGAAATCAAACATTCAACCAGTATTGTCAATTAGACTAAATAGACTTATTTTCAATCAGAACTGACATATGCCTAATTTTAAATAAACTATATCCAATTTCTGCAATTAGTCCAATTGGCGAACTGATTTTAACTGATAAAACACATATGGTATTCTTTCGATATAAGATAACTATAATAAAAGTTATTTGTATATACTGTATAATATTATAGCCACATAATATTATACTATTGCGTGATGTGAAATCTAGCTTGGGTATAGAAAAATCTTAGCATAACCGACTTCACTTTCTAAAATAAACATATCGCATTTACGCGTATTAATGCTCATGGCTGTTATTTAGATATACAATTTAAAGAGAACTAATAATTAATTTAGCCAAAAACAATAACAAAACAATGAATCACATTTGACTAAATTAATTATTAATTCTCTTTAAATTGCACGTCTTTAAATAATGCCCATGGGCATTAATTCACATAAATATTGTATTCTCTGGCCCAAATAATCTTGCAACTTGAATTCTAATAAAAATTTTTGGTTTAAATAAATATGCATAAAAAAAAGTAATATAATGCATCAAAATTTGTATTGCCGCTCTTACCATTACATAAAATCAAAGACCAATCTATACAATTATTATAAGTTTTAGTATAATCTGTTCCTTAAAAATGTCTAGCAACCAATTGTTTGATGATATTACTGGTGAAGATAACATGTCATTCGAGTATAAAGGAATCTCTAATTTTGAAAATAGTTTCGACGAAAATATTATTAGTGATAAAAATATTATTGATGACAAAAATGATAACTATTATGAAGATGGTGGTTATACTGAAGATGAAGAGAATAATACGACAGGATCTTTGCCTATTACATCTTACTTTACTCCCCAAATAGGACCTACAAAAAAAAGTTCAAACCCAAATGTAATACAAAAAAAAAAGTAAACCCGTAATCAGCTGGGTATAGAAGTATACTCGCCGTGATAAATTAACAAAAATTAAACATTGTGATGTTAATATATATAATGATGACGGTACTTCAAAAAGTGTATAACGGTGTTTATATCTAAAACAGCAACAACCAATATAGCTATGCATTTGAGAACTGAACATAGAATTTATAAAAATCAAAAATAGGAAGCACAACCACCACTAACATCAACTACAACTCCCACATCAACCCCCAACAAACAATCGAAGCAGTATTTCAAAAGCAAATAGAAAACACGTTACCCTCCCTGAAAAATAGCAAAATCATATTAGTTATCGTCTTGTTGCCTGGATTGTTGAGGAAATGATGCTATTGAATTGTATTAACCATGATCGGTTCTGAAACTTTTGTTATGAGATCAATTGACAATTTGAAGTTCCCTGTATTAACATGATTAAAAATTTAATTAAAGAATCAGTACTTTATACAGATGCAACATTAAAGGAGATGATGTCTCAAATGATGATTTCTGTTTGTATTACTACTGATTTATGGACCCAAAACCATGTTCTATATATTAGCATAACAGTCCACTGGCTTTCTGAAAACTTTACAAAGTACCAATCTTTAATTACAATTGAGCATTTCCTATCTACATATAGAAGATCGGATCGAAGATTTTTTGCACAAAGCTCTTGCTGAATGGAATATGTTTGATAAAGTTAAAGCAGTGATAACTGATAATGCAACGTCAATAGTTAAAGCAATCAGACAATTAGGCACCACCCACCTTGGCTGTACAGCATATACCATTCATCTTGCGGTCACCGATGGTTTAAAAAAAAGTAAAACTTTAATTTCACGAGCAAAATCATTAAATAATTTTTTGATAAACCGTGATAAATACTGATTATTATTCCGAAAAATTCAGCAAGAGTTAATTGAAAAAAAAAAAAAAAAATCAACATACTACTAATATGCGTATTTTAGAGCCCATATCAAGCAATACAGCTACTAGGTGGAATTCCACTTATCTTGTTCTCCAGTGGCTTCTAGAACTTCGAGAATCAACTTTAGAATTGGCTAAAAGTTTAAAAAATAATCCTGACCATACTGCTCGTGCCAATGGTTCTAGCCTAAATGAAAAGATGCTTTCTGATGAAGAATGGACAGGTAAAAAAAAAAAAAAAAAAAAAAAGGTTTAAAACGAATATATATCTCTTTTTTTGTTTTAAATTATTTCATCAATAAGTTATTCGGCTATCTAAAGTTAATTTTTTGGTTCTCATAATATAAAATTTTAAAAATGATCCGGCACTTGGCTTTTAATTTTATTTTCAAAAACTTATATACAAAATTTTTAAAAAGACTACCCGGATAGTAAATATACATAAAATTTTTTTTTAAATTTTACTTGGCCAGGCTATGAGAACCAAAAAATTAACTTTGCTTGGCCTTATTAATATATATAAAAAAAAATTTTTATTCTTATGCAAAGGCCTAAAAGAGTTGTGTCAACTTTTACGTCCATTTGCAAGAGCACTAACATTCGTAGGAGGTGATCAGTATCTAACATTGAGTATGATGTATCCAACAGTACGACACCTTTTTAAAAATTTAGACAAAATGGAGAACAAACTTACAAATATTGATGTTATTGAAGTGCACGAAAGTCTTCGCAAATCAATGGTATCACAATGGAGTGATCCAGGAATGGTCAGATGGCTTGCTTCATTTCTAGATCCCCGTTTTAAGGTATTATTAGCCACCTTACCCACAACGCAGCGAGAGGTGCTCCAAGAATTACGTGAAAAAATTGAACTTTCTCCCCACACAAATAACTTACCAACTATTAATAAAGCTCCAGATACAGAAATGTCTTCTTTTTTTGGCAACAGAATCGATCCTTCAACGTCTTCTCCAATCGACACCGAAATTCAAATATACCTTTCAATTCTGGAAATCCCTAAATACTGTACGATCCAAAAGATCCACGTTATGAAAAGTGTAATCCCTTAGATTGGTGGAACGAGCACAAAAGTGCCTTACCTTTTCTCGCAGAGCAAGCACGAATTTTTCTTGGCATTCCGGCGACCTCTGTACCCTCTGAACGGCTCTTCTCTGACGTGGGTAATACCGTAACAGATAAATGTAACCGTTTAAACACGGATTCGGTTTATGATCTATTATTCTTAAAAGAAAACTCAAAAATAATTAATGTATATGTCAGCTTGTAAATCGAATTGCAAGAAATGGCGACACAAGCCATCCTATGACTTGTAC